TTCGTTTGATTTGTACAAAAATTTTTGATACCATATTTTTAATTTACTTAAAAAAATCTCTAAAAGTTATTTTTAGAACGTTTTTTTATTATTTAATTAAATGTCTTTAAAAATATTTTTTGAAAAACCCTCTAACACGTAAACTGAGATAGGTATAAGTTTAAGTATTTTTATACAAAATTTCAAGATTGGTAAAGGCGTTTTAGAGTTAGAATTTTTTTACTTATTATGCATTAATTTTGACGGGCAGTGTATAAACTCAACCAACCTAGGTAATATTTATTTCTAGTAGCAATGTCCCCAATAAAATCTAAATCTTCGTCATCCGAAGAATCATCCAAGTAATTATTTAAAAAACCTGCCATATTTATTACTTTATTGAAATAGATATAACTATATGCGATTTACTTAGGTTTTAGCACAATAAACACAATTGTGGGTTTTAGGTTATATTCTTTTTCTTCTGATTGTGAGTACCGAAATCCGGGGTGAAGTCGGGCAGTAGGGGCTAATGCGGACAGAAGCACGTTTTCCCATAATTTTTTCAAGGGCATCTCGCCGGTGTGCAAAATCGCGCTGGACCTGTCTAGAATCTAGACTCTAGATACGTTAGTAGACATAAAAACACATTGGTGGATGGTCGGTCGTGGCGACTATAATTTCCCCCCGCGTAAAAATCAGCTTTTATTTCGTATTGCGTTTTGTGTTGTTTTTTTAACTAGTGAAAACAAACTATTGTCCACAGGTAAGGTTTACATATACAACATTTGTTTTCCCACTAAAATGTTAACTAATTTATTGATAACATTTGGCGATAAAATGACAATAATACCACATTTCGTTTTTTGAAAAATAATTAAACTATAAAATATTGTCCTCAGCTGGGGTAAATGCGGACACCATGGTAAGGAATTACAAAAAGAAGATAGGCGTAAGTTTCATGAATTATAATGAAACGATTTTACAGAGACCACTAGATGATATGAAAAAGGGCAAAAAAAGTTTGATACAAGCATCAGAATATTATAAAATTCCCAAATCTACACTCCATGACAAAATTAAGAACAAAAAAAAGGACATGACGGCCAAACTGTATTTTCGGCAAAAGAAGAAAGGTTGTTAGTAGAAGGCATAATCAAATTTAGTGAGTGGGGCTTTCCATTGATTCGCAGATATATAAGATACTTAGTAAAAAATTACCTTTGATAGGAAAGGTAAAAAAATAAAAACTTTTAAAGACAATTTACCTGGAGTTGAATGGTTTTATAATTTTTTTAAAAGACATAACATATTAACCGAACGATTAGCTCAAAACATCAAGAGATGCAGGGCAGAGCTGGGCAGTAATTGACTTGAAAGTGCTTGAAAAAGTGCTTCAAGCACAATAGTGCTTCGAGGGCTAAAGGGCTTGCAAGCACTATCAGATTTGAGGGCTTGCAAGCATTTAAAGTGCTCCCGAGCTTAGTAACAACCCTGTGGTTTCATCATCATCATCTAATGCGGTGTGCGGTGCAGCATAAGCTTTAATGTGATTGGTTGGTTGAAGCCTTCAACTTGAAGGCCGACTTGGTCAGTACCTTTCTCCTTCTTGCAGATAATTTGTACTTATTTTTTGATGATTTCTTCACTTTAATTGTTTTGCGTCATGTTGTGTGGACTAATAAATTAAAAACAAAAAATGTTTCTTATTTTTAAAATAAAGATGTTAATTAATTGGGTAGGAAGCAATTGAAAAACTAAAAAGTGCTTGGTAATTGGTAATTTATTTAAGAAAAAAGTGCTTGCAAGCACTTTTTGAGTAATTGGTGCTTGGTAATTGAATTTTTCAATTACTTTTCTCGGTAATTGGTAATTGCAAGCACTTAAAGTGCTTGATGCTTGGTGCTGGCAATTACTTTTCCAAAGGGCTTGGTGCTTGGTGCTCAAAGCACTTTTTTGAGTGCTTTGCCCAGCTCTGATGCAGGGCTAATATCACCAAAGACACTATAAGAGAACATTTTGGAAATTTAGAATCGACATTGGAAAATATTGAGCCTACCCATATTGTAAACTATGACGAGACGAATCTCACGGACGGCCCAGGGTCAGGGAGGCAAAAAGTTCTATGTCGCCGTGGTCTAAAAGGGTAGAAGTTATACAGGATTCCAACAAATCAAGCACCTCAATTATGATGGCAATTACTGCATCCGGACATCTACTGCCCCCATATGTGGTATACAAAGCTGTCCACTTATATCCAACCTGGATAGAAGGTGGACCACAGGGAACTATACACAACCGAACTAAAAGCGGTTGGTTTGATGCCCCCACCTTTAAAGATTGGTTTGACAAAATCCTCCTTCCTTATTTCAAAAATCTTTCCGGAAGGAAGGTGCTCATTGGAGACAACCTCGCTAGTATTGTTGTAAAAAAAACGTTTTTTTTCAGTTGAAAAAAACACGTGAAAAAAAACATGTTTTTTTTTTCACTGAAAAAAAACAAAAGTTGTTTTTTTTCATCCCACCCACGTATGGTAAAAGAGCGCCTCGCTGTCGGCAATGCTGACTCAGCATATCGTATAGTCTATACGGTATTATAATAGAAGAGTTAAGACCTGCGGCTTTATAGGTTGATGCATAGTTGGTAGAAATGCCGAAAAGGGAAGGCTCAGGGCGAAAGCCAACAACGTTAAACAATTTGTTTAAGAATATTACTAATGGTAAGTAAGAAACTATAATTAGTATTTAATATTCTTCTAGTGACAGAATGTGCCAAAAATTCTTTCCTCAGCAGTGACATTTCGAAAATTCTGTCACTTAATATAATTTGAGTATTTTTGACCATTTTTTTGAAAAAAAAAACATTTTTTTTGAAAAAAAACAAGGACCTCTGTTTTTTTTCTAAAAAAAAAACATTTTTTTTTTGAAAAAAAACAAGACTGTTTTTTTCAGTGACAACACTACTCGCTAGCCATGTTTCAATGCATGTTCTGAAATGCTGCGAACAATATAACATCGAATTTGTGTTGCTTCCATCTAATGCCACCCATCTTCTGAAACCATTAGATGTGGCCTTTTTCGCCCCCATGAAAAAAACATGGCGTGCCATATTGCTACAATGGAAAATAAAGAATAGAGGAACTATCCTGAAGTCGGAGTTTCCACGGCTTCTTGATGAAGCTATTAGGAAGATTAAAAATTTAGAAAACAATATAAGATCCGGGTTCAGAGCTTGCGGGATTGTCCCATTTAATAGTGACGTTGTGTTAAAAAAAAATACCAGATGTGGATGAAGGCGAAGAAGCGGCTCGAACAGAAAATGCGAACCACTGGACCAAAACTTTAGAAGAATTTTAAAAAGCGACTAGGTCAGTTACAACTGAAGAAACACGACCAAAGCGAGGAAAGAAATTAAAAGTATCGCCCGGCAAAAGAAGATCTGCAACCTTCAACTAGCCGTCTTCTTGAGGATGAAAATGGTGATACCGAAATCAGTAGTGATATAGAGAACAAGACTGATTCAGATGATAATTATCTACAGCTTCAGGATGTGACTGAAGAGTCTCACAAAGATAATTTAGAGACAGTTGACTGTACTATAACGATACTATACAAACGGGTACTTTTTTATTAGTTAAATTTCCATGCCGAAACAAGACCATAAATATTTTGTTGGATGCGTCTCTGAGGTCATTGAGACGACTAATAATATGTATTATGTCAATTTTCTAAGGAAGCAAAAGACTGATAAAAGGGGGCTTTATTTCATTTATCCAAATATTAAAGATATGTCTGTAGTAGATGACACTCAAATTTTTAAGATTCTTACAAATGTAAAATTTTTGAGGCGCGAAAGGTTACAATTTCCCATTTTAGAAAAATATGAAAATATTATTCGAATTGAATAATTCAACAACAGTTCAGTCCCTAGTATAAGGTTTATATTTTGTTTTTGTTTTGTGTTATAGATAATTTTATTTTGCTAGAAGGCAGTGTTATTCGAATTGACTAAGTTCAGAAGTATAAGATTTATGTTTTGTTTTTACTTGTGTTATTTTCCTAAAATAAATTAGTTTCTTATTTAAAAAAATGCGTTTTTTTTCTTGTGGATTGTTATAAATTATTATTTTTCACTTTTTGTGTCCGCCTACGCCCCATTTCAGGGGTAAAGATGAATTCTAATGCAAATACCCACACATAGGGGCGAAGGCGGACAAACTTTAACCAAAAAAAGTAGTGGGGGTAATATTTTTTTGCATATTTTTATATCGGATCATATTCTGAAGATTTAGGACTTCCTTTATTATTTTTTTTTTCAAATTTTTTGCCCTAAATGGGTACAAGTTATTGGCGAAAAAGACCAAAATTTATCCGACTTCACCCCAGAATACGGTACTACTAGTTCAAAAAAGGTTCCAACCAGTTTATACGTTATTCAAAATAATTTTACTGTTTTTGTTCGCGCAGTCGCATTAATGCTGTTACGGACGATATTATTTTGGTAATATTACTGCTGGTTGGAATGAACCTATTAGGTAATAAATTATAAATAAATATAAATATAAATAAATAATAAATTTATATAAAAAAAACGTAAAATGCATAGCAAGCTATAGCTTCTTACCGACACCCTCTTTTTTTAAATTAAAGTTTACCTCGTTGACTTCTTCATTGCATTGCATTTAAATTGGAAAGTGGGTCTTTTGGGTGTGGAGCATAGGGGACATCCATTTATTACGCGAGGCATTTTTCTGATAATTTGGACCCTCACGTGAGATTTTAGCCATTAAAGTTTCTTTGCGGACAACATGTAAAAAAAGTTATTAATTTTTTTAACAAATTTAAATTATAATACATATTTTTCAAACTAAAAGTTGACGTAAGATTTTAAATTGACCCCCCCTTAAAATGAGATTTGGTGAGATTTTGCTGGACCCCTCCCTCCCATTTTTATCTCACGTAATTAATGGATGTCCCCATATCTAATTTGTATGCTTTTTTTTAATTTTTTTTTTCTTTAAGAGATGCAGCCAAATCAAAGCCTGCCTTTGGCGACCGTAAGTGCTACCAGCTTCCTCCGGGTAGTTCGGGCCTTGCGATTCGGGCAGCGGATAGAGACGTACAAGAAGGCGCCGACATGCTGATGGTAAAGCCTGCCATGGCTTACATGGATATTCTAAAAGAGGTCAAGGACAAATATCCGCATTATCCGATGTTTGTTTATCAAGTATCTGGAGAATATGCCATGATTTACCACGCTGCCCAAAAGGGGGCGTTCGATCTGAAACTAGCTTTAATGGAAATTTTGGGCTCTCTTAGACGGGCAGGTGCTGACGTCATTATCACCTACTACACTCCATTCGTTTTGGAGTTAATTAAAGGCAAAAGCAAATTGTAAAAATTAAAAAGACAAACAAATACATAGGTTATGGTGTTTATTTATTGTTTAATATATTAAACATTTTGTTGTCACTGCAAACTATACGGTTTCTCGAAAGATCGAAAAAAAAATCTCGTCCATTGACAACTTTGTTTTTATTTTTATTTTTTTCTTCACTGTTAAATTTTTTTTAAATAACTTTTTTATTTCAAAACGTATCGATTTGAAATTTAGACAAAATGTAGATCTTACTAATGACAATTAATCCATGAAAAAAAATTGTTTAGATTTTAACGTACAGGGGGCGCTGGTAATAATTTAGTTAAAAATTTAACAATTTTTAAAGGGTAAATAATAGAAGAAGAAACTTTGTTTTATAAATTTGAGTATAACACGTTAAATTATTGATATTTGACTATTATTTGATATATTAACTTTTTTATGCAAATGATGTTTCTGTGGCCAGGATCAGTTTTGAATTAGCAGTAGCAGTATTCATAAACATTTAGTTTAGTACATTTTGTCATTTTTATACAAATATTGTTGTATCTTTTATAAAATAATATATTGTTATTATTTATTAAGTATAGCATAACACATAAATTACGTTTAATATCCAGGGTGTTTCACGTACGTAGTCCGTTAGAAGATTCTAGGGAATCGCGAAAGACATCGATTTAAAATTTTAATAGCGTAAATAATTCGCTTTAGACTTTTTTCCTTAATTATTTTGAACAAAATAATACTTCATGTTTTACCGGACATGTCTTTAACTTTGTTGTTTTAAACATGCCCTATAGAACCCATATTGATCCAGATAAGGAAACTAAAATGGATTTATATGGTTCTATATGTCCTATATGGAAAGACCTGCCCTATTAAAAATGCCATCCCTATTAAAAATGCCCTATAGAACCCATATTGATCCAGATAATGAAACTAATATGGATTTATATGGTTCTACCCAGAGAGCCATGCTTTGGGAAAGAAATTAGTCAACTTTTTCCCAACTAAGTTTGGACTACGATATTTTACATTTATTGGGGTTTATTTGGACATATTAATTGTATTTTCATAAAGTTTGACCAAAAATTGACATGTTTTATGCCAAATTATTTTCCAATGCGATAGCACAACAACTACACAAATATACAGTCCTAGATATAGTTATTATTGGCCAACGTCGTTTGTAATGAAGTTTGGTCGAAAATTGGCAAAGCGTTTGTAATTCAGATTGATCGAAACTTGGCAAATAATTGATCAGCATGGAAAAAGAATCGCAATGGCGAGTTATATGTCGTTAATATTTCAAGACCTTCTCTACAAAAAGGCGTCAAAAAGTGCTTGTGTGATAGTTATTACAAAAAATTATAATCATCTGTGCACTAACTAAACGTGTTAAGTTTTAAACGGCTTTAAATTTTGAGTAAGTAATTAAGGTTAGGTATGTTTTCAAAGTTTTTAATAAAACATTCAATTATTATACAATTTCTTACTTCTCGAAGATTTTATACCCTTATTAATTTTGAAGTAGGTAATATAAATTTACATTGGTAGTTCTATATTATGTAATTAATTTTTGTTAATTGTTACAGATTTTCATCTTGAAGTTGCAATGAAGAAAAATAACTGCCTTTTTCTAGGTAAATAGTGTTTATGGGTACTAGGCTTTTACTACAAGCAGGACAATTTAAAAATAAATTTTCTACCTATATGTCACGAAGGAAAAAGAGGATTTATTGGGTTTTAAGATTTATCGTGCTAGAAGTGAGCAAGGTAATTGCAATTTTTTTATTGAATTTAAAAATTTATTTCTTTTTTATTTTTAAAGTTCTTCATAACATAAAGTTACCAATCACAAACTATTTTTCTTAATGTTTAATAAAGCATAATTCTTGATAGCCTGATCGTAATTCTATTTGTATCATAATATTATAACAAGTAAGTATAAAGGTGGATTTAGCCAGCATTTAAAGTAATGTAATGAAACGTAACATAGGTAATTTAATTTAAAAAATTGTGTAACACAATTTGTGTTGACCCGTCAAACAAGAAAAACTCAACCAAGAATACATCTGCACTTAAAGAAATCTATAGATAGGTATACAGGGTGTCCTGAAATTAGGGGGCCAAACTTAAACAGTGCATTCTTCATAGAAAAATAACACTTTTTTGTAAACATGTATCAAAAAATGGTTTTCACTTCCAAAATACGTTTTAAGACTTGTGTTTTTATATTGTTATGTTATAGGTTAGCTACTTTAAATTTGTCGCTGACGATGACGTCGTAGGCAGCGTGAATTTAATTGTCAAAGAAGCCTTCTCAGATGAAGTTTCTTCCAAAATAACGCGCACTGGACGTGCTGGTGTTGGAGTGTCCAAAACAAAAATCGTACAAGCCATTCACCGTATGTTTTATATTTTAATATTATTTCCTAGACAATTTTGTTACTTATTATTTTGTTACTTGTTATTATAGTATTTTTTAGAGAGTTTACATGAACATGATAAATTTCCTCCTCCAGGGGCTTTAGAATTCCAGAGGTCCTTTGACGTGGCCTTAAACAACGCGAAGCAACGGGTCCGAAATAAAAAAAAGCCTTATTGCAAAAAAACAATTAAATCACTGCTTGGGATTCAACATAAAAAAACAATATTTTTTTCCAATTTTGATTATTTTAAATATTTTTTATTTATACATTTGTTTTTTTTTAATATTATTTTTGACCACTGTTCCAGTATTGAAACATACTGTTTTATTTTTTTATTATTAAAAAATATAAATACAAAATTTTTTATTTACCCAATTTTCAAATATAATAATAATATTTGTTAATTAATACTTTGGATATGTCCAAATATTTACCAATATTTGGTCAATTTTTCAAAAGCCTAATTGCCCAAATAAACATCAAAAATTTGTCATCGTTTTTCCATGCCCAAACATTCCCAAAATTAAACCAACGGTAACCTACCTAATTTATCCAAACTGCTTTGGCATATTATTGGGCACAATTTGGTCATTTATTGTTGGCCATCGCGATTGCACAAATACCATAGGAATATACAGTCCTACATAGTACATTTATTGGCAAAACTTTTCCAAAGGTAATGGGCAATTCTTGGCCATGTTTTAACCTGATATGGCTCTCTGGGTACAGGGTGTTTCATAATATATGCGCAGGACTTCAGGATGTGATAGCTCATCCAAAAAGATGAAAAAAGTCGCTATTAACTTACCCTCTAAAATGCACAATTTTCGAGATACAGGGTGTTGAAATTTTAGAAAAAAAATCGTTTTTTAGATTATCTCTGGAACCGTTTAACTTTGTAATTTGCAAGGTTAAAAAAAGGTCAATATAAAAGTTATTTGGTTCATTACCAAGGGGCCGTACATAAATTACGTAACAAATTTAGGGGGGGAGGGGTACTATCAAATTGTTATTATTTGTTATGGTACGAGGGAGGGAGTCTTTAACACTTGTACGTAATTTATCAAAATAAATAAAACATTTTTTGGTGATCAATAAAAAATTTTAAATTGATCATGCTATACAAAAATTCCTTAGAATAAAAAAATTACGTACAATAGGGCGGTGGGGGGTTTCAATAATTTGTTACCATCTGTTACATAGGGGGGTAAGGGTAAAAATGTCGCTTTAAATACGTCACGTAATTTAAGTACAGCCCTCAAGCATGTTTTGAGTTTTTAAGTTTGTTGATATCTTTTTTATTTTGTTTCTATGGCAACCAATTTTGTTTTTAAATGACACACATACTTTTTTGTGTTTATTATGAAAAAAGCATGTTTCTCTCTATTTAGGAATTAAAAAAAAATAAGCGAGAACCATATATCTATAACTTATAGGTTATAGGTATATGGCGAGAACAAATATTTATTACGACTCACTCGTCATCTCTAATAAGGTAAGCTATGAAAAAAGTCATGCAGTTTTAAAATTGAAACATTACTTTTGGTAAATAATTCCATGAAAATTTGACAATTAAATTTATACTAACAATTGTTTCTTTATTGTTTTTCTTTAAAAAAAAAATTATCATTGTTGGTTTAAAGTAAACTTTTGTTCGACATTCTTGCAAATTATTCATTTTAAAGACATGGCACATTTGATTGAGAGAAAACGTATTGAAATATTAGATATTATTATAATAAGTTTTCCAAAGATTTTTATAAGATATTATAGTTTGCATTAGACATAATAAAACAAGTTTTTCAAAGATTTTTATAAAATGATTTTTTTTTGCGCAGATCAAGTGAAGATTTGAAATTTCCGAAATAGGCTATTCAGTGATTGAAAAATTAGGCCCGAATTTAATTTTGATTCCATTTCTAATCTAAACAGGTGGTAGTAACTTTGGCGTCCATAACTCAAGGTTATTTCGTACTAGTTTATCTCTCAAAATAATTGTACTCTTTTCTTTCGCGCAGTCGCATTAACGCTGTTACTGACTATAATATTACGGTAATATTACCGGTTAAAATGAACCTAATAACTATCTTAAAATTATTATTATCTTCAAAAATGTTCATAAAACATGTTTAAGTAACTCAACAAGACTTTCACTACCACTGGGAGGTGAGCAACATCAAAGACTTATCTTTGTACTCGCCCAGTGGTTGGTAATTTCATTTAACAGCCCTCCTGTTAAAGATGGTCCTTCGAACCGGATATATCCGTTAGTATACTAACGCTGGGAAGTGAGCATAATCAAAGATTTATCTTTGTACTCGCCAAGTGCTTAGTATACCAGCCAAAATACAACTTACACTGCAAGGCACTGGGAGCTTAGTTGGTCCATCGAACCTTTTACGGACTTAAGTCATCTGTGCCCTTTAACCCACGCCCTTTCGGACTGGTCTAAAGATCTACAGTCCACACAGCGACCTATGGATCTACAGTCTAAAGATCTACAGTCCACACGGTAACCTATGGATCTACAGTCTAAAGATCCACAGTCCACACGGCGACCTATGGATCTACAGTCCAATGATCTACAGTCCACACGGCGACCTATGGATCTAAAGTCTAAAGATCTACAGTCTACACGGCGACCTATGGATCTACAGTCCAATGATCTACAGTCCACA